ACAATTAATGTAATCAATAGTTTGTAAGCTATATATATATATAACTTAGAAATGGTTCATCAAATATGAATTGATTTTTTTTTTGTTCAGTTTGTGGAAATACGTTTCAAAATCCCAACGGGACTATTTCTTCCCCAAGATATGACGACTTACCTCAATCAGAGGGCGAACACTGCGAATGGAGAATTACAGCTACTCATGGAGAAAGAATTGTTTTGAAGATTCTCAACTTGGATATCTTTGAAAGTGAAGACTGCGAATCAGACTATTTAGAAATAAGAGACGGTTATTGGTATAAATCTCCACTTCTGGGTAAATATCTAAACATGGAAATAACAAACAAATACTAATACAGATCTCCACTTCTGGGTAATTATCTAAACATGGAAATAACAAACAAATACTGATACAGATCTCCACTTCTGGGTAACTATCTAAACAGGGAAATAACAAACAAATACTAATACAGATCTCCACTTCTGGGTAAATATCTAAACGTAGAAATAACAAACAAATACTAATACAGATCCCTACTTGAGGGTAAATATCTAAACATGGAAATAACAAACAGATCTCTACTTGTAGGTAAATATCTAAACATGGAAATAAAAGAGATGCTGATACAGATCCCTACTTGAGGGTAAATATCTAAACATGGAAATAAAATAAATACTGGTACAGATCCCTACTTGTAGGTAAATATCTAAACGTAGAAATAACAAACAGATCTCTACTTGTAGGTAAATATCTAAACATGGAAATAAAAGAGATACTGATACAGATCCCTACTTGTAGGTAAATATCTAAACGTAGAAATAACAAACAGATCTCTACTTGTAGGTAAATATCTAAACATGGAAATAAAAGAGATACTGATACAGATCCTTACTTGAGGGTAAATATCTAAACGTAGAAATAACAAACAGGTACTGATACAGATCCCTACTTGAGGGTAAATATCTAAACGTAGAAATAACAAACAGGTACTGATACAGATCCCTACTTGAGGGTAAATATCTAAACGTAGAAATAACAAACAGATCTCTATTTGTAGGTAAATATCTAAACATGGAAATAAAAGAGCTACTGATACAGATCCCTACTTGAGGGTAAATATCTAAAAGTTGAATTAACAAACAGGTACTGATACAGATCCCTACTTGAGGTAAATATCTAAACGTAGAAATAACAAACAGATCTCTACTTGTAGGTAAATATCTAAACGTATAAACAAGATATAGATACTGATACAGATTCCCACTTATTATGTCAACATAACTGATAGTGTTTTTTATAACTGAATTGGCTGATATTTTTTTAAATGTAGGTATTAAATAAACATTATAAAACGTTATATGAACAAGTGAAGGTTATTGTCATATTTGTCATTACCTTTTCACTGCATTCTTAGCTAGAAAAGTCAGTTGGTTTTTAATATAGTAACACAATGTAAGTCAGTAGTAATCACATTTTACTTGTAGTAATGTTTTTATATTTGTTCTTTCTATATTGAATTGTCGGCTCTTTCTCTCAATTCAATTATGTTGATTTCAAAGCTATATATTATTAGTGAAAATTTAAATTATGTTTATCTTAACGCTATGTCCGCCCCGTATCAAGTTTCCGTTCTCAAATCCAACTGTTTATTTAAAAGTATCAACTTTCATTACATATTTATTAAATGTACGCCCTAGTTTTAATTTTATCAGCGATCTGGTAACAGTTGCCACGAAACTTTAAATGTTCTTCATTAACGGACGGAGTCATGATTTACTGCTCGTGACTGGTGTATACACGCGACACAAGGAACAACGCCCCCTGCGATCAAAACAAGTTAGATATTAAGATCACTTTTTGAAAAATGGAAATTCACTATCAGAATCTGGACGATCAAATAAACATTAAGTAACTGTGAATTAGTGTCATGAATAAGGAAATACTCATAGAAAAGTAGTTACACCGAGAAAATACTTAGTGGAAAATAGGAATTAGGTAGAAAAAATACTGAAATCACACAATTTTGTATAAAATATTACAGAATTAAAAAACCTGATTGTTTTATGTTCTACTTCCTTAAAGTGAAATAAAAACTTCACAATTATTTCTATAATTAGTGTTCTCTCGTGCTAAAAGTGACATCTTGCGGTAGTTTGAATCTCCGCTCTGCCAAATGTGAATCATAATCCACCGTCTCAGAGCTTTTGGAAATAAGTCTGTATTTCAAACAAAAGTTACTTCATTCTTTGAAAAACTTACACCAAAGTTTTCTCATAACAGTTTCAAGACTAAACTAACAGCTTATTAAACACTAGAAAAAGTGTAAAATTACTTGACATTTCTTTTTTGAAATTACTAACAACGCCTGTAATGATGATGCACGAGTTTGTGTATCAACTGTAATACTCATGAACATAGAGAAGTTATGGATAGGACACAATGGTAGAATTAGTACACTAATGGATAGACCACACTTATAAAATAGTACACTAATGGATAGACCACACTTATAAAATAGTACACTAATGGATAGAC